CTTACGTAAAGCGGACTAAGGCTTTCAGTCTACTAGTATTCGGTTTGTGACAAAGACAAGGGTAAGGTTTTGGAGGCCTGCTAGGGCGTCTAAGTTTCATGGACTAAAGTTACGGAGGATGAGGAAAGTCCTCAAGTCTGTCTTTCCTTTTTAGGTGTTCCCATTCGTTCGTTACAAGGTTCTTCTTAGATTTAGTATTATACTCTATTTTGTTTCCCTATTGTTATTGTTTTTTTTTTTGGCGGAAAAGACTATGTTCTCTTTCCAAACGCTGTTGAAAGGAACTTTCAGTCTTTTAACCTGTCATGTGTAGTTCAGTATTACAGCTAGAGTTTCCATGACACTAAAACGTCAATCAGTGCAAAGTCTTTCAGGCCACAAAGCAGCCCGTACTTTTTGCGTAAGCCAAGAAGGCGGAATAGTCGAGGTAATGGTCAGGAGCCCTCTTCCCTCTTGTCTGGAGCAGAGGGGGCACGGCAGGGGCGGGGCAGGGGAGAGGTGAGTGAGACTGGGGAGAGAATCGAAAAATAAGTCTAAAAAATACAATAGAAAATGACAAAGAAAAAACAAAAGAAAGAAAACAAGAAAGAAAAAAAGTTTCGCTGTCTAAAAGCAGTTGAAAAGTTAGTACTACCAAATCCGTTCCTGCTGATCAATAACAAAGAGCCACAAGTGCTCGACGCTCAAGCTGAATACCGTATTTATTCGAATAAGCGCCCAACCTCGAATTAGCGTCCACCTCGAATAAGCGCCCATCCTAAAGGCAGCAAAGTTAATAAGCGTCCACCCCCACCCCACTCCCTCCCACACAAACTCAAATAAGAGATAATAAGTAATAAAGAGACCCTCCCGAAGACGGAGTTTTCTTCAGAGCATTTTACAGAAACCTTACTTTGTTACATCTCCGCTTTTTGTTATTACCATTTATTGTTTTGCTGCAAAACTAACATACTACACTTGCTGAGAATGGAGAAAATTTAATAAGTGCCCAGCCTCGAATAAGCACCCACCTCGAATAAGCACCCACTCTCAAAGTCCAAAAATTTAATAAGCGCCCAGGGTGGTTAATCGAATAAATACGGTATATACCATAAAAATTTGTAAATGAAGGACGTAGTTAACCTGTAACAGGCCTTAAGGTAGTTGGGAAAACGCAAAGAAAAGTGGGCTAGCAAAAATGGCGAAGGGGCGGGGTTAGCAAGAGAGGGCGAAAGGTCCTCCTACTCTCTCCCTCTTACTCTCTTCCACGTTTGTTTTCCTCCGTTCCCCATTTCGCGCCACTGTCCACTGTCCACTATCCACTATCCACTATCCACTATCCACTATCCACTTTCCACTGTCCACTAAGCCTGGAATAGGCTAGTTCATATTGGGCCAGAGAGTTTTTTTCCAATGGCGATGCAAGGGATCTATAGATGTCCATTTAGGAGCATTTGCCATTTTTAAAAGCTGATGATCACGCTGCAACTATTCCTGCTTTAGCATTAGTAAAACGACACTTTTTTTCTATTTCCGTTTTGCTGTAGAGGAAAGTTTTTGGTGATTTGTTGTTGATGATGGTGTTTCATCGTCGATCGAAACGAGTTAAAATGTTTTTTGAAACGTTCGTTAGAATGTAACTTTATAAGCGTGATAGTAATACATCGGAACGTACATTTATACTTATACATAATTACTTGAAAGAGAAAACTCGCAAGAAAAAAAAAGAGTTCTAATTAGTTAATATTGGTTATCCCCGTCTTAAATTTAACGTATTTATGCCTTTTGACGCATGCTTGAATTAATAAAACACACCACTGTACTTGTTTAAAGTTTGTTTTCGTTGGGCTCCGGTCGTCGACGTCTTGCCGATGTCGCTCAAAAAAGACGACTTTTGGGCAGTTCTACACTATATATTGTATCCAAACAAAATGACTCTTCTAAATAAGATAAGTGTATTGAAAGATGTAATATAGATTGTATGCTGGAATTTGGCATGTGATCAGCGTTGAATAGAATGTTGAAAGTGAATCTGTCGTTAACACCGCTGACGGGCCGTGTCACGCTATTTTTAACCACTGGAATGTCGCGATTTTTCGCAAAATTAGGGTTGAACTCGGCGTCTTGCGGGCTACTTAAAATCGTTTGCCCAGAGATTTGTTTCGATTTTCGGATAGATTGGGGCCTAGTTAAGCCGTAGAAAGTCAATTTGCGAAATTCTAAGTTATAGCGCATTGTAAAAATTTACATTACTTTAACCCTATAATTTTGAACGGTAGAAATTGTCAATAGGGCCTATTTTTAACAATACCTTTTTGGCCACAAACTTATTACAGCTCTCACAAATTTATCGTCTTATAAGAAAGAAAGGGTCATAAAAACTATTCGTGTTCTACAAAGGCTGCTAAATCGTTGTGGTTTGACGTACGAGTCAATGGAATTTGTGTAAAATTTCGCCTTACCGGAAGTGGATTTTGAGCTCCGAACGGGCAAAATGAGTTTTCTCGAATTTTAACAAAAGAATACGTTATTTGGGAAAACTAACTACAGCATGTTTCATTACTCATTAAGGGTTATCGATGAGCCAAAAATGAGCAAATTCGAATTTAGAACTTGTGCCACAAAAAGTCGATTTTGGTCGATATTTACAGACAGTCGCTCTTAAGTGTCCTGCTCATCCAAAACTTTCGAGGTATTTCTCTGAATCTCAGAGTATTGACCACTATCTGGTTTTGAATGCAGGTTCTGAAAGTGAGTATATAATTTGCGGACTGGAACAGACAAATCTTGTGAATTTGCACTTTTTGTCGATAAGTTCTTGAGTATGGACCAGAATTTTTGTGGGTTAGATGAATGAACAAGTTCTTCCATTTTGTAGTTCTGATGTTTTCGCTTTTTCTGTTTTAACACGCGTTTGTATTCCTTATTCATACGATGATAATTAAGTCTGGTTATTTCGTTGTAATCTTTCTATTATCCATGTTGCAAGGTTCTTTATGCTTTTGATTTGAGATATGTTCAAGTTCCTTTTTCAGATCGTGGCAGTTAGTATCATACAATGGTTGGCATCATTCCTTTTTCTTTTTTTCTTTGTTTTAACCAGATTTAACTATTTCTTTGCTGCAAAATCTAAAATTTTCACAAATTTGTTTACAGCCACATCAACATCTAAATGTTTAAAGTTGGTATTAACGAAGTCGGAAATAAGCCCTAACCGCTCTCACTCACAGGATTGTAGGGCCAACAGAAATTTTTCTTTAGGATCAAGGGACCATTTAAATTGTCTTAGGAGAGTAACAAGTTCTTGCTTGTTATCCGAAGGTGAGTTTGATGGACTGTCGTAGGTCTTTATCCAGCCGATTAGTGGACAGTGATCCGAAAAAGATGAAGGTTGACGAACAATAAAATTTCGGAATATGCCTAATAATCATGGATAGCTAATATGTAGTCGACTGTACTGATTCTATGGTGGCCATGAAAGGTAATTTTTCCAAAGGTGTCACCTTTGCATCCTGCCATTTAAGATTCTTATATCAAGATATTTGCACTATTCTAGTAGGATTTTGCCGTGGTCATTTAAATTTTGGTCGAAACTCTTTTTGGAACCATTTTTGGCATTGGAAAGCTGTCTCCTAATAAAAAATTACAAGAGTAAGGAATGATAAAATCGTTTTGTACGCCAGTACGGGTATTAAGGTCACCGTCAAGAGTACATAATAATCTTTCCGAGAAGTATTAATATCATTTTCTAAGTTTGAACTGCTGTTAGGACCCCTCCAAAGAATCTGCCAGATTTTGCAGTGAGAAATTTTCGTGGGGGGCTTATCGCTATAATTTCGAAATTTGGAATATGCTCAACTTCATGACCCTAGAGCTCGGAAAGAATAACAATGTCACTGTTTTTGAAATAATTTAGGGAATCATCACTACGTAATTTATCGCCAAAAACTGATTTTTTTTGCCTAGAAAACTGACGAGCTGCGGATTAGCAGTTTCTTTTATCTTTACTTCAAAGGACTTTTATGGAAGCGCTCTTTTCTTCTTTTAACGCTCTCCTTGTTCAGGAAATTTCCGCTTCAGAGTGTCTGTTTCATTGAACTCACACGCAAGACTGCATGCAATCTATTGCTCGCTTTCGCTTTCTTAAATACAAAATTAAATGCTATACTAGTTGTCAGGAGATAAGGGATCAGGACCATTATTGTTTCTTTTTTGGGGGGGGGATGAAACTTGTTCGGAGACAAACAATTTTTTTTGTCGTTGTCTGTGCAAACCGTTTTTTCCAGTGTTTTTTTTTCTTCGACTGCATCATTCTGCTAACAACTTATTTTTTGAGCCCTGTCGGTGACCTCCGTTAGTTTTTCATGTGTAAACCGCAGCTTTGTCATTAGATCTGGTTAATACGGACGTTATTGGAAGTTATACCCTTACTCAGGCCTGAACAAAGCAACGCATTTATGCCGTCGATAAACGGTCCAAATCAGAAGATATATAAACTATAGCCGGTAATCAAGGAATTCATAAACAAAAACGTTCCTTTTCCCTAACATGTTGTTTTGGATTACCTACGGTATAATTTAGAGAGAGATAAATGGTCCAGTAAGCGCTTGTCATTCCCTAAGACTTGGTGATGCGCCAATGCCGGGAAAGTAAAACCCCGCAGAGAAAATGACATTCATCAACCAAGCTCGCACTACAATGTCACCCGATAGAAACTGTTTTAAAAAATGCTAGTTGAGAGCTCAATTATTATACCGATGAAAAAGATCCCTCGAATTGTCACCTTAGCCGGGGGTAAAAGAATATATCTTTCAGCATTTTTGTTTGTTTGTTTGTTTGTTTGTTTCTTCCCATCGACCTCTTCTTTTGGAGATGGTAACACTTAGCACTTACGATAAAAACTGATAAACTCGTGCCCGTTTTACACTGCTGTGAATTAACAGTAAGCTCGGACGTCAGGCATTATTATACGTGGATTAATGCAGTACCGATCACAAAGTTGGTCTGGTAGTTGCAATTAGTCAGTCGTCGTGGAAATGTTTTATATGAAGAGACGGAGTTGACATAGTTCTTTTTAACGGTGTTTGGTGAGAGTCGAGCCGAGCTTGATCTGTGAACAGGACCAAATCACAGGATGCTGATCTTGTTAAAAGAACTTGGTTTTCTATTTTTTGTATCTGTACTTCGGTATCTATGACCGAACCAAGCAAATCCTTTCGTCTGACGGATCGTGGTACATCATAAGCAGCTGAAGGCCCCTTTTCCGGTTTTCTGATCTTTAAAATCTCGAGCACGGCTTTCCTAAAACGACAGTCTCTGTAGCAGTAAATGAGTGGGTTAACTACGGAATTTGAATACAGAAGTGTGTCCATTAAACGTATCACCCAATGTTTACGAAGAACTGGATAAACTCCTTCCAACATACCAATAAGAGCATTTGGGAAGAACGAAAGAATTAGGGCAACCGTAACTAAAGCAGTGGTCATAGCAACTCTGCGTTCAAGTTTTGCGTTCACTAACTCGCTGACTTGGTGAATTTGACTTAATTTACGTTTGCGAACCCCAAGGTACACCATGACATAAAAATATACGATAAGTCCCAGGGCAGACATTACCGAAACTGAAAGAACGGTGTGGAA